AGAAAGGGCTTGTTTGAACTTGAGTGTGTTTTTCTGTTGCCTTTTTTATTGCTTTTCTTATTGTAAGTTCTATTATTGCTATTGCATTTCACCCCTTGTTGCCTCCAAGAGCTATTCTCTCATCCCTACATATAACAATGTCTGTGGACCCAACACACATGTATGTGATTACTTTGGCAGGAGTAATCATGTACAGCTAATGTTTTACTAACATTTTGAAACCACCTTCCCCCTGAATACCTCTCGACTTTGTGTTTTCCTTCTAATGGATCACATTACTGAAGCATCACTGCTGTTTGTATTGCGTTGAAACACCCTGAACTAGGGCTGGGCGGTATGACGGTATATATCGTTACCGCGGTAGAAAATGTCAACCGTAACAGATTTTTTTATTCCGTGTATACCGCGAAATGCAAATAAGTGGGCGGGGTTAACTCGCGTGCAACGTGCGTAAGACTGAAACACTGAGAATTGTAAAAAGAAACATGGAGAAATCAGATCAAGAGGATCCACAAAGGAATTACATTTTCTAAAGGGTTGTTGTTGTTGTTAACGTGATATTTTCGGGGGGAAAGGCGCAGCAGTTAACTCAGTGCCCAGGCTACAGATTAGTGCACGCTCGCAACGGGGAAAGCTGGACAACAACAGTTATCAATATCGTAACGAATAGAAATAACCTTAAATAATGTATAGTTATCTGCATCTTTCCGTCTCTTATGTATAGTTTTTAAACACGCAAACAGTTTGGCGCCCGTGGTAATGAACAACCTGCTTGTTAAAGTGAATGTATAATCCTGTAGCCTATCTGAGGCAAAATTACTAAATATGCATCGCGAGTTATATATTTCTAACTCCAAACAATTGGCCACCGAACCAGCTGATACAATCTTCCTTTGATTCGATCCGTGATTACAACTTGACATTCAAATTAACCGATCGCATTTTACTGATGCAGAAGACGCGCGCGTGCACACGCACTGAGGGAGCGCGGTGTTCACCGGGCTATGGTCCAATAATGACGCAGTTACAAGGTGTGTATCTGTATAATTTAAACTAGGCTACTTAGTCCACACTAACAGTAGCTGCTGTTCGGTTTTCAAACTGCTGCTCTCCTTAGTCACTTCTGAACTTCTATTGATTAAAGCGCAGGGTGACGGGTTGCCAGATATCACAAAAAGAGCAAAACAAGCCCCTTAAAAACGCAGTGTAGCCAAAGCAGACATGGCAAAAATGTACCGGGGAACACATTTAAACAACTAGTATTACTATCCTACAAAATTAAAAGGAAATAACTAATTTATCATGAATAGAATAGTTCAATATAAAATATTCAGATATTATAAACTGATTGATGAAGTAAAGCATAACATGAGATTGAAAAATGATTCAGAAACACTTTATTTAAAGTTTAATTGCACCTATGAGTTGTATTTAATATCAATCAGTTGGGGGCAGTTTATCTAAAAGTTGATGAGTGTGTTTTGTTTATATTTAGCTATCTAAATAGTTTACCAAATAAATAATTTACCAAATAAGAGAAACAGAAAACAATGTGAAGTACTTTTCATTTCTAAAGTATTTGGGTTTATTTATTATACAAAGCCCTTTTTGTCGATTTTTCGAGAATAACTACATATATAAATATCTATATCGTGAAATATATCGTTACTGTGAAATAAAATGAGTCATACCGTGAAATAGAATTTTGGTCATACCGCCCACCCCTACCCTGAACATAACCAGTCCTTCACAGTCAGTTTATAAGAAAAAAAAAAAAAAAACACCTGGCTTCTTCATCAATGGCTGGCTCATTATTCAATTATTTATTACATTTTCCTGTATTAATTCATGTTATTTATGTCCTACATGTACGCAACATGTTTTGGATCAACTTTAATTTATTTGTATACATGTGTTTTTATTATGCACAGACACGGCATCTATTTTTGTAATGCTGCAAGGCGAGCTTACTTTTTTTTGGTTTACTGTATTTAACACAAAACTAACAAAAAAGGTTTATTTCTTCATTATGGTGTTTTAGGGAAGCAGTTAAGATCTTTGTTTTTGGATATTCGTCTGTGGTGGTGACTGCATTTGCACCAAAAAACAAAAAGAAGCAGCTCAGCAGGCGAAGGAGCAGTTTTAGTCTCTTGGAGGGGTGGCGAAGTCGTGTTCCCATCATCAGTGATGGATAGAGGGTGGAACTGTAGCTCATTCCTAATTATTATTATTATTATTATTTTATAATCGTATAATTTATTTTTATTAATTTTTATCATCTCTAATTATTTCTGTTAGAAACAGTGATGCACTCTGCTCGTCTAGTCATCCGGTTCATCAAGTTCTCACTTCCTGTAAAACTGCAGAATAGTGCAAGCCAGCAGATACAAACTCTGTCAGAAATATATAGGGAGGAGTGTAATTGAATCAGTTGGCCTACTGTAGATACAAAACAAAGCCTCCCAAACTGCCCACCTTTTCCACCTTAAGCGGAAGTATAGCGATGGGCTGAGCTGTGTCTGTTTCTCATTGATCCAGCATTGGTCAGAGAAGGCGCAGGCCTGGCGGGCTTCGGCTCTCTAACAGCTGAAGAGCCTGAGGATATGTTGAGAACATCCTGCTGAGAGCGTGGGCTACCCAGGTGGAAGAGCCAGCTGGTGGAAGGGTGTGACAATGCGCCTGAGGTGGTGGTGGGGGGGGATCTTAAGCTCCACAATATGGCTGAAAGCTGTTCCCTCACCTGCAGCCCTTCCCCTAAAAAATTAAGATCCTTTGGGAGCCCTGTTTCCTGATATATTTTTTTTCTCTGGTCTTCGGGTTTCTCAGATTTAAGCTGTTTTAGTGAAACACACACATAGTGCACTGCTGACTCTCTTGAGTTGAATCCTACCTGGCCTGCCACTCCTTGAAGCCTTTAGATCGTTTGACCCCATGCCATTATGGACCATCCATCCATCCGCCCATGCATACATACATGCATACATACGCAATCCCTGTTGTGGACCCATGCTGTCATCATTGTGAGACATATTTGAGACACCCTACCAGCAAGAAAGCAGAGAAAGGTTGTATTAAAAGTCACGTTAAAACTTCCCTCTTCTCAAGTAGACCACAAATCTGTAGTGCTGTGATCAGCTTGTGAAATTTATTTAATTATATATACAATTAATAACTTTTTGGAACTGCAAGTCCTGTCACCTGTTAAGGCGATACGATGCTCGTACAAATTAATTACTATCCATTCCGTCTAAGCACACCTGAGCTTTTAGCACCAAAAATAAGCAAATAAAGAAATAAGTTAAACTTTCAGAAGATCAAACTCTGTTAACATGTTCTGTAAAGTCACCATCACTTTAAATTCATGGAAAACGGACATGCATCAGTACCACAGTGCTATTGACACAGCAGAGGGCCTGTAGCCAGCAGGAAATCCACCTGCTTAGGAGATGCTCTTGCTTTGATAGCTCCTTCACATATGCAGATTTCTTGGGCGAGGCTTGTTTGTATGCGATTTCCTGGGAGACTTCCATCTTGGGCTTAAATAAATAGCGGAGTTGTGATGATTAGCGCTGAGGTGCGCTCCTACTCCCACAAGCAATCTGCCAAACCTAGACTTCTTCTGTCTTTGTTTTCACCTGAGATTTTCCCAGAATCTCTCTCTCCCCCGGATGGGTCCCAGAGCTACGACCTTTATTGCTCTCTAATTTAGTTACTTGGTAGTTGACTGTGACAATGGTTTGGCCGAGGAATTTGCTGACATGTTATGTCATTCAGGGAGAGATTCTCTTCAAGCAGAGCTCTAAGGAATCCAGTCCCTGGAATACCAGACACACATAAAGAATCAACGTTGGTTTGGGGCTGTTCAAAGCTGCCGTTCCTGCTGCTCCTTAGGATTACAGATATTACACAATTATCTCCATGGCTCTGAGCCGTTGACAGAGCAGGCCCTGTGTTTGTCAATAGCAGGCCCGCAAAATCTCCCTTCAATATACCGAGTAGTGCTGCAGTCATGAGCTGATGGTCTCTTTAAGCACATCGACTCTAGACGTCTGTCTCTCTGTCTGTTTTTCTATCTCACCTGTCTCTCTCTATTCCTTTCCATTTTCTCCTACCTCCTTTTTTTCTCCTCATCCCTCCCTTCCTCAGTTTTTTATGTCATGCTATAAAAGGGAAGTCTGGCATGCATCAGTATCTCGGTTTAATTGTGACACATCTGCCATGATCTAGAGTTTCTGTGTCCTTATGCTTTCCATCCAGGATCTGTTATCTGGGTGCCATATGTATAATTACCCTATAGAGAGGAGCATATGTAACTTTTTATTGCTATAACAGGAGCTCATATAAAGTGTGGTCCAAAGCACAGGAGTCATGCTTTTCATTTTGGTTAGCTGTATGACAAGACCGTATCTAATATAAAATAATCCATTTAATGTGAAACAATGTTTGTTTAGGTCTTGTTACTTTTTATTAGTGGTGCTTGCTAAGGGGGCCACTACTACCTATTTTCCTCTTACTTAAGGCTTAGAAGTATTTAATCTGTGAATTCTGTTATCTTTTACTCACCCACATGTCATTCCAAACTCGTATGACTTTCTTTGTGTAACACAAATAATATTCTGAAGAATGTTTCAGCTGTTTTGTCCTTACAACAGTCAACAGGGGTCCAAAACATAAAAGTAGTGTGAAATGGCTTGAATATCCATCTCTAATCATGTAAATATATCTCTAATCCATCTTATATATATATATATATATATATAAATATATATATATATATATATATTTATTTATTTATCTTAAACTTTTAAGCAAGCAACTATGAACTACCCAGAATACCTATAACAATATGCAGTCAATCTGTTTATGCTTGATGTCTGAAATTTGGTAAACTGAACATCTGATTCTGAACTCATTTTCTATTTTTCCTGAAAAATTGAGCAGATGCATTTACTGGTTTTGATAATTAATAGTTCCCTCTGGTTGTGTCTCTTTGCTTTCAGTGAAAAAGGACGTGGAAGAAACAGATGACAGGATGACACAATTCAAGAAAAAAGCAAAAGAGCTGCGAATTCTGGATGCCAAGACAGCTCAGAATCTGTGTAAGTTATCAGCATTCCATATCTGTGTCCCCTAACTCCCACCCAAGAGCCCCCAGATCTGGTTTTTGTTTTTTTCTTCCAAAGAAGTTACATTTGTCTCTAAATAATTGTCTTTTTTTATTATTCATTATTATTATTATTATTATTATTATTATTATTATCATCCTAGGTATTTTGCTCCATACTAGACTTTCTCTCTACTAAAAGCAGTTAAGGCTGCTGGATCTATAGCCACAATGTTTTCAGGCTTTGACTGACACTTTTCCTCTGTTCTCTTCTGTTTGTTTGTTTTCTTTCTCCTACATATCATGTCAACTTTAAAATTCCTCTTATCCTCTTGTATTGTCAAACAGCATTCGGCAGTATCCGCTTTTCCTGCAACAGGTTTTTGAGGATGCTTTTTTTGATAATGTATTCAACCCGATTCCTCTGATATCAGTTGTACCGTAAACACATAGGAGGATAACAGAAATAAAAAGGACAAAGCATTTTGTTTGTGTCTGCCTCATCGTATCCACACACAAAGCCAAATAGTTCCCTAAAACCTTTATGCGAATAAGGGACCAAAGTCTAATTTGTTTTTGTTTTTTTGTTTGTTCTTTCCCCACACGTAAATCAAATCCAGTTATCAGTAAATTAATTAATTTGTTAATTTATTTATTCCAAATGATTTTAAAATAAAATCAGTTACATTAGGCCATGTTTACTGTCATATTTGTTTGTCTGTACCCCACTGTCTTGTTTGTCTATACCCCATAGCACTGAAACTAGTTTGACCCTATACTCGACAACAGGAACCACCTGTTTATGTCACAGGTTGCTTTGTGGTCCATATTGATCAGCCTACCTTGTGCCATTTAGCAACTCTCTGTCTCACTTAAACTGCCACCCTCTTTCCCCCCTCTTGAATCTTCAAGGAGTGTGTGTGTGTGTGTGTGTCTGTGTGTGTGTGTCTATGTGTGTGAATTCATTGTGTTCTCAGGAGTGTCTGCGACTCTTTGGACTCTGATTGATGAAAGCAGTATGAGAATGCAATTTTATTCTTCTTTGGAAATGTTGGCTTCTTTGTCTGGGAGAGGAGAACACCTTAGATATACAATATCACACTTAATGAAATATTCATAGCAAATGCTAAAATAACCAGCCACCTGAGTATATGTCCTACCCATGCTTGTTTTCATCCTACCCGGAAGCGTACTTGGATTCCAATTGAATACATCAATGCAATTTGAATGTGTGAATAGAACAAAATGAAGCTCTGAGTCTGGCTATAGTTCTGCTGTTGAAGAATATATATTAAGCCACATTATCCGAATGTTGGTTTAACAGAGATAATAGATATATAACATTTATTTACATATATTTAGATTTTCAGCACTTGCTGTTGCAAAGCTTTCTGTAATGATTCTAGGGTGTTATGTGTGATTGCCCGTCTGTCTGTCTGTCTGTCTTTTTGTCTATCTCTCTATAGTCTGGTAGGCAAAATTGTCTTATATACTCTCATTGCTTAACTATGGGTAATAATAATAGAGATGCTTGTGTCAGTCAACACTAAAAATACAACAAAAGACATACCATTTTCGTTATTCGTATAACATGCTCAGTTAGTGTGTCTGAAGGACATCAGGGTCAGGTTTTGTGTGTGCGCGCTTGTTTTTTCTTTTTCTTTTCTTTTTTCTTCTTCTATTAGAACTGGAGCAGATGAAGATAGCCCTAACAGTAAAGATCCCAGTGACATTTCTCTCTTCCCTTCATTCACTCACTTTCTCTTATTTTCACATTCTCATTCTCTTGTGCTCTGTCTCATTTCCGCTAGTTCTTTACCCAGCCTTTGATGCACAACACACACACACACACACTCACATACCACTTCAGGCTTTAGAGTAACTAATGCCAGCACACGAGTGGGAGTGCTGTTACACATTCACTTCAGCCACAAATCTGTCATTCTTCACAGAGAAAGGAAAAGGGAGGTGGGACAGGAAAACAGAAAGAGGGAGTGTAAAAGCATCGTATAAGGCACTATTTGAAAGGCCAATGTACATTTCTGTGGGGCATAAATGTTCTGTTATTTATATTTTTATTTAGGATAGGGGCCTCACAAACAAGACAGGGTTGTTCCAGGGTTGTGGAAATGACCCAAAGTACATGTGGGACAGGGAGAGTTAGTCATACCCCCAGGTATCCATTTCTGTCTCCCCCTCGTGCTGAGAGTACAGTCTGTCGGCTGACTGGACAAAACCCACACTTTCTTTGTTTGGCCATGAATTTTTCTGGTTAGGAAAACTTGCTGAGTTCATTGGTCCTGGGGACCTATGAACAATCTTACACAGACACGCACATGATCCCACACATCATTGTGAGTGTAAAGAGAAGCTGGATAGTATATGCTACTTTGGACCCGGGGCCCGGGTGGGGCTCCGTGCTCAGCTGAAACAATATTCCAGATGAGATGAAGAGGTTGTGAATATCATGAGTGCAGGAGGAACCAAGCAAAGCAGGCAACCACTACATGAAGTCATGCTCCTCTGTTAACACAGAGATACCCAGCAGAGCTCTGTGGTCCGTAAGCATGTTTAACAATCCCAGCATTCCTTTTTACAAATATAGCGGGCTGCATTTAAAGCAAAGTGTGAGTTACTATAAATTATGCCAGTGTGTGGAGGCGGTTTAGTATAGAAAGCGTTTTATATATGGGGAGGAAGTGCTCTTTTTTGCTTTAATGCTTGCAATTTGGTGGACTTGCAGTGATTTCTTTGTTGGAAAATGTGACTAAATCCCCAGGCTGATGAGTTGTGGATATGAACGGAAATTAATTATGGGATGCATCTGTCATGGACAAACTTGTTAGAGGAAAAAGTCAGGATAATGTGAATATGTAAATTATACTCATGAATCAACAGATGAAGCGAATGCATTTGTCATCCAATTATTTTTTTTTAAGAAATGTGATACGTTCTGACTGGAGGTTGTTAAACTCACCACATTCAGTGACTAACCATGTGTTTGTTTATTGGCATGCGATACTCTTGATGATTGGCTCATCATCATGCTACTGATGGTTTGTTCATTAGCATATCCCTATAGCCAGGCTGTATTGTATTGTAAGGCTGGTTTTAAAACCTTGTTGGCATGTCGAACCTACAATAATAATTTCTCCTAGGCCATTGTATCCAGATGAGCCCCCTCCTTTGAAATGCCACCGTGTTTGCTCTACCTTCATCTCCCAAATAATGTTTTTTATAAAATAAGATAAAAAAATAGAACTCTCTTTTCTCTGAAGAAACCGGCATATTGTCACACGCAGATGGCCGACTAATGAATTGCAGAAAATAGAGCATAGTTTCACAGAGACCCAGTCAATCAGCTGGTGGGAATGTTCATCAGAAGTTGGACCTGTTTCACCTGCACACCAGAGAGCTGGATGAGGCAGAAGGGCCTTTGCATTCACTGGCTGGTGCAATTCAGAGAGCAATGGAGAAATCTGATCAAATAAATACATATTTCAGAGAACATACACTCACATATAACCTTCAGTATATCCACTCAGCTCTGCATTCCCATAAAATTTGCTAAAATAGCTCAGAGGTAGGTGATACAAAACAAGAGTGACCCTTTGAATGTTTCTGTGCTATAATCATTTGCCAGAAAAAAAATGAGGTTCTGCTCAACATTGTTTCCAGACACCACTGGAAAACCCTTGACTGTTTTAATCTGTGAATGTTCAGGTAATTTTAACCTCAATGCAGTAACTGCTTCAGACATAAATGTACAATTATGTTCGGTCCCCCACTGATGTGCTTTAAACTGCACACTATGAGCTATATGCTGTAATTATAGACTATTCTTTCCTCAGGAGTGGTGGAGGTGATCAAATTCAACTGTTGGGTAAATTGCACCTGTTGTTCTCTGCATTTCATCCTAGGTGAGAGTTTAAGATGTTAGGTTGTTATCATGTGATAAGGCCCCAAATCTGAGGCTAATTTAGCTGATTTTATTGCTGAAAGAAAATGTTTCTCTTTCACCACCAATTGCCCCAAAGTGGAACAAACACTCTATCAGTGTTTTACCATCCACCTGAGAAGTTGACGTTGTCCCGTGCTCATTTCTAAAGGGGGACACCTGTTGGACTCTTACACTCTAAACTAGAGGGCCAGAAAATGACTCATCTTTTTTCTTATTTTTTTTTTTCTCTCTGAACAGCAATTTTCCTGGGATCATTCCGGCTGCCTTATGAAGAGATCCGTGATATCGTGGTGCAGGTGGATGAGGAGAGGCTAAGTGAAGCATTAATCCAGGTGAGTTGTGTGTGCATAGGCACTTTCATATAATGCAGCCTGATCCACCATTTGAAACCTTTATCCGCTCACAGGGCAATGTGTAAAATGTAAAAACATTCTTGCCAAAATCCAGTCCAGGTACTGCATAACAAAAATTAAAACATAAATAGTGATAGTTCTCACACACACACACACACAATATAACATTGTTTAATAAATTCAAATGTTTTATGTAAAAGAAAGTATTTTATTATTGCTATTTATTGATGTTTTCTTTTTAAAGATGGGATTTAGAATATAAAATTGATTAAAAAATAAAAAATAATTTAGCAATGTTATATTATCTTAGGCCTTGTCCACACGGACACGGGTATTTTTATAACCGGAGTTTTTCCTACAGCGTAAAAAAAAAAAAAAATCCCGTCCACACATGCTTGGTCTCCGTCTACATGAAAACGCAAAAACACGTATCAAGCGTGGTCAAGAGCATGCCACGCCAGCAGGCGGCGATATAAACCTTAACCGTAAAGCCACGTTGGCCAATCAGAAGCGCAAATCTGAGGTCAAACACAGCGGATAACGGCGCACGCTCTGACGTCGCAAGGCAAAAACCCCGGTTTCACTGTCTACACGACAACACTGTAACCGGCGTTTCTGAAAATCCTCACCCCTGGCAGGGGTTTTCAAAAATGTTCGGTTTCAGTGCGTTTTCGTGTGGACGAACGGCCGAACCGTGTAAAAAAAGTCACGGTTATAAAAATACCCGTGTCCGTGTGGACAGGGCCTTAGTTTGGAGTCGTAAAAGTCAACCATCCATACATCCCTCCATCCATCCATCCATGCAAAATATTTAGTTTTCATTAATGACAAATATCTTGGATATTCCAGTGTGTGTGTGTGTGTGTGTGAGAGAGAGAGAACTTTTGACACATAGAAACATACCAAACCGCTACGCAGATACATCTATTTTGTGAAAGCCAGACATGCATGGGAAATTTCTGAATAGCATTTGTAAAAATGTCCTACGTTTGTCTTTGCTCAGAGATTTGTCATGCCTACAGATGACTGTGTGCATTTGAAAGGCTTCATTAAAGAGATGTATTTGATGCCAGGCAGTGCTTCGTGTACAATACTCTGTCTGCTCTCATTCACCAGGCCAATAGAAGCTCCACTTTCACTCTTTCATAATAGCTGCTTTGGGACAGGACTTGGCAAAACTCCTACTGCTCCACCCTCCCTCCCACTGCCCTTTGTGTTACAGGCAAGATTGATGATCCTTCAGGAAGCTCTTCACGCCCTGACTGTCTCAGTGGTTTTTGTTAATCTTAAACGTGGTAATTGCAAATGGCATGTGTTTCCTGAACTAAAGATACCTCAGCTGTCTATGAAAGAGTTGATCTCATTTACATTAGACCACCCTTTGCCTCTAACCCTCAAAGCCTCTGGTGGCTTTTTCACCACTGTGAATTAGTTGGATTTGAATGAGTCAACTCAGTTTCACATTTGACAGCCTGCCGTCTATCTCAGAGACCACTAAGGGGAATTGCAACTTTTATTTGAGCTGTTTGCTTCTCAAGTTATTGGGCCATGTCCAAGTGCCAGAATTTATCTGTACTGTCTGTTGGTGTTTTTGTTCTATATACAGTAGATTAGTTTTTTTTTTGTTATTTTCTGTCTGTATTTAGTTCTCCTTGCTCTTCTTTGAAAGCTGGGGAAAGGTGGAGGAGATAAGGAATATTTAGATGTCCTGGTCCACATTGGCCCTTCTTGGCTGTTACTGGGAGCAGAGATGACCTTTAATTGCCAGGTGGTTTGGGCTGGGTGTGTGGAAGCCTGAACTGAGGTGACAGCCCTCTCGCTCTTTACAGAAGCAGAAGAGCTAAACTGATGACCTTTTCTCACATTCAGCTGCGCTTTATAGAGGAGATTCATCTGTCAGGTTTGCACACCTCTTTCCATTTTCTCTATTCTCAGTTTAATCCTTCTTTCGAGTTATGCCTCTCTCTCTCTCTCTCTCTCTCTCTCTCTCTCTCTCTCTCTCTCTCTCTCTCTCTCTCTCTCTCTCTCTCTCTCTCTCTCTCTCTCTCTCTCTCTCTCTCTCTCTCTCTCTCTCTCTCTCTCTCTCTCTCTCTCTCTCTCTCTCTCTCTCTCTCTCTCTCTCTCTCTCTCTCTCTCTCTCTCTCTCTCTCTCTCTCTCTCTCTCTCTCTCTCTCTCTCTCTCTCTCTCTCTCTCTCTCGCCCAAACCCTCCCCCTCACATTTATCATCTTCATCACCCCATCGTAATCCCTGGAACTTAAATAGCCATGGCATGATATCCTCATCCTTGAGGGGGAGGTGATGCACAGGTCCTGTTTTATGTCCTTACACAGTAATGGTATAGGTTTTTTAGTGGCTCTCTGGAATGACATAAATGCCTCAGTCGTGCCGACGGGATGTTGGCAGAGGTTTGTTGGTAGGCTTGAAGGCACAGACAGACGTGCCTCTGAACCACTCAAGCAATATGGATAGAGAGAGTTCTGAGTATTGTTATTTTTCATTTTCCTTTCTCCTAGGGTAAGTTCATGGTGGTTGCTACCTTGACATCATTCACACTGCATCAAGGAAATGTCACGTCTCAAAATAGGAAAGATGGCCAGATGAGTGTAAATTTCCCAGTGGTCACACTGACGATTCAGACTGGCTGTTAGAAGAAAGGAGCATACCGTTTTTCACGGATGAGCGAGTGATGTTCTATATATTACTTCTAAATAAATGTTAATTCTGTTATATTGTCTAAGTATTTCATAAGATTGTTATTGGAAATTAAAAAAAAGTTGTGATTGAACCAAGTGGAGTATCTAATTATAAGGGCACATACACACTAGAAAATAGATAGGGATTTGTATTGGATTTGTTTGGTTTTTGTTTTGATGGGAAAAAAACATTATTTAAATTCAGATTGGTGGCAATATCAGAGTTCTTCTCAGGCTGTGGTCACATAACAGAGTGTCTGTTTGCTTTACACCTTATATTCTACCCATACATCCTCGAGGTGCATAGTCGAAAGATAATCAAAGGATTCACAGCATCTTGTGACACAGCATAATCTTAAGTGTAGGTGCCAAGAAGAGAAGAAAGTTCTGTGTTTTTCTGGATTTGATTTGTAATGTAAGTGATGTCTTGGTGTGGGCAGTTTTGCTAAACAGTCACCTACAGATGCTTTGGAGCTGATTGGTTCAGTGTACTCCATCCTACACTTGCAATACTCCTCTAGCTTTATCTGATCATGCGAGCGATGCACAGATCTGTAAACCCCAGCAGGCTTGCCGGGGTGTAGCATCCATACAGTAGGCGTGTGAAGCCTGTCATCTAACGCTTGCCTGCACAGCCAAGCACTCAGACACTTACTTTTCATTGTCTGGAGAAAAATGCAATGCCTCACTCAGTCGTTCTCTCTCGCTTTCTTTCTCTCTCTGACAGGAATGTGGCTTAGCCTCTCTCTTTATTTTTGACTCTGTCCCTCTTTTCCATTTTTTACGGTTTTTTTTTTTTGCTTTGTTGATGTCATTCCACATTTTCCTATCACACAAGCAAAGAACTGTCATCCCAATGACAACAAAGAGCCTGCAAAACAATCAGATAAAAAGCATTTATTATAGTCACTGGTCCATGCAAAGGTCTGCATGAAAAAGGCATACTTGCTGACAAAGACTCTCTGCCCCATTGTAGAGGTGTGACATAGAAGAGAAATAGATTGAAGACTGGGCATGTGCATAAGAGACCAAGGTCCATACGCCGGCATTGTGTTTGCACCAGTTGTTTTTGCCCCAAAGAAGCCAGGCTCAGCTCTGCTTTTTCCAAGCCACCAATGAAGCCACAGCCTTAAATATTGCACTCTGACAAATCCCCTTCACTCGGCATCATGCTTTTATATTAATACTAGGGCTGTCAATCGATTAAAATTTTTAATCTAATTAATTACATACTCTGTAATTAATTAATCTAAATTAATCGCAAACACAATCTTACAATGTTTACATGGGACAATTTCTGGTAAGCTACGTTTTTATTATTATTGCTTGAGACAAATTTCACGATTTCAATATAATTTAATTCTTGTGATTTGATGCAATATTGACTCATTTGGATAAATAGGTACACAAGATAGGCATTCATTTTTCTCAAGAAAAATTAAAAATCGCACCCAATGCTGTAAAAATACAGAGAGCCATATCAGCTGGTAGTATTTAAGGTTAAAAATAGCTCATATTAAATATAATGCGTGTTTATTACAAATAACAACTTTGATATAAGTAAAAATATAATACATATGTAATATAGTAGTAGGCTACATACATTTAGAAAAATACTCTCTATAGCTCTTTTTTTATAGCCAACTAACGTGCTATATGGTCATGAAATGGCTTTCCTGAGGTAACTTAGGCTAAATGTTATGTGACATAATTGTTCTCCAGCTGTTTAATTGACCTCTTTTCGCGGTTGAAAAACACTGATTGATCGAGGAATATACATTTCGGCTGCCGAAATTCGGCTGCCGAAAGTTTTAGGCTGCCCTACTTTATCTTTCAACATTGGTCATTCGTGTTTATTTACTATTAGCTAGAGATGATCGGTTCACGTGCGCTATGGGATCTGTCATGACTCATGTCACATTTACAAGCGCCAAAACGGTATTTATTGTTTGATTTTCGTAATAAAATTGACAGAATCTGAGAGCTGAGATTTTTTAAATATCATAAGTAACGTGCTCTGTCTTGTCTGTTTCCGTGTCCTCTCTTTGGTGCGCGATTTTTCTGTGCGTGAGAAAATGGTTGTGTGACGTGAGAGCGCGTGAAAAGTTACAACACACACACACACAAGCGCGCTTTCTCTCAGACACACTCACCGACTCACGCACACACTCCTGGATGCTTTGCATTGATGTGGTACTTTAGAGTTGACGAACTCTGTTTGTTATAAGTAAATGTTCCAAACAATGATCCAAGCAGCGCGTTCTTGTCTCCCTCCTTTATACAC